GTTGGGTAAAATACAACAGAACCTTCACTACCATGCTCCAATGACAATTGTTAGCATGAATGAGGCAGAACATACTGTCACCCAGGATGAAGTGAAGCAGCATGTACAATTTCTGGGGCTGGGGGGGGGGGGGGGATATGGCCCAGATCTGATGTGTAAGCATGAATACAACCCTTTTGCCAGGTAACTTTTTTGAACATAACCAGGTGTTACTAAGCCCTGAGGGGAGATGTCTGGCCATCAGCCACACATGCATCACAGCCTACCAGTGTGAAAGTAAGTGAGCTAACAAGGTATGACAAGAGCGATGTCAATTCTCATCTCAATTGCTCCATCTGTGTTGAAAATGAAGGTGTCACTGCCATGTCAGTGCAATATGATGTTTGGAGTTTTTACATTTTCCTACCTTCTGTGCTGTTTCCAGCCACATGGGCTTCTGTTGTATTCTCCCACATGGCCATGCCAGCATCAGTCATAGTGATGAGCATCAGATTGTCTGAAAATACATACTAGATGTCAGACATATCAGGCTGATAATCATGGGTTTGACAATGCATCTAAATGCCACTCTTTCACTACCCAACCCAACAAAACCCAAGATATTGTCCACATCTCAAATATAACTCAAATCATGTAGGAAAGAAAATGCAGCCACTCCATAGCCCACAGGAGAAGTGCTAACATCCACACAAGCCAATGCAACTGCACTTGCAAAGTTGCTGCTGGTACACTGTGCCAGCTAAGATGTTTAGTAACACTCTCCTTTTTAGTTAACAGATCAAAACAGTTATTTTGTGGATAATTTCATAATTATGAAGGAAGGTTTATCAGGAGAACATAACAAACTACTCCAAAAAGAGGCAGCAAGGTCAAAATGTCCACATTGCATCACAGTAGTGCTTTTAAGTTATTAAATCTGATCTGTTAACTTGTTACACTATGCAAATCAGTAAAAACTCATTCTGACAGAAGTGTCACTGCCTTAAAGCATTCTTATCATCACTCAAACTATGCTCCATCATTTTACACCATTTAAATTATCAACAAACAACAGCTGGTCTTAATTTTTTTTGCCAGTATCTGAGGGTCCCATTTGCATGCAAACATTCAAAATGTTCTGTGCAACAAACTTAAGCATTCAATGCCTCAATAAAGCTAGCTGAATGCTTTTAGGCCATAGGTTGTATGATTTAGAACCTTGGGAGAGTTTTCCTTGCAGGATAATGGATTGGATATAATGAATTTACATCCTTAGAGTGGTCACAACAATTTTCCACACATGCAGCAGACTAAACCAAACTCCAGTTTATGATGCTGAATCATGTGCTGGAGGTCACCACTTGCCACCTAGGATTTTTTTTTAAAGGCAGAATTCATCCACTTAAATATTACTGGATGTAAACAAGATGTTCTGGGCTGATGAAGATTTCCTAGGTTGAATATCAAGCCTCATCCTGATGGAAGGGAAGGGCAATGCAAAGCCTTTCTGAGGCTTTCTGAGGACACTTCTCTGGCAAATCGCACAACCAAACAGTACCATCTACAACAACCATCACACATATTTGTTTACATTTTTTATGCCAAAACATGTCCTAAAACTTCCAGTATCTGAGAAGCAACTGGTGGTGGAGGTGATGCAGCAACAACCATGCATCCTTATGGCAGCCCAGCCCAATGATGACTTACACATGGGACAACATGGTCACATTAGTGGAGCCTTACACTATAATATAGGTTTAACACAAAATTACATACCATTGCGCTCAACATTGAAAAATACATGCCTGTTTAGGTTTTGTGTCATTGCAGGGTATTTTCTCATATGTAAGGAGATGTAAAATTGAACTTTGACTTGACATAATGGGGCCAATCATTGTTTTACAACCATAAAACTGATTACCAATCACAAATTTCATTTATAAATCCAATGACGTTTGCCACCAAATCCTTTGAATGCACTTTTTAACTTTACCTTTGACTGATCACCCTTACCGAATCAGAGCCATGCATCAATCTCCATAAATCCTTCAACCTCCGACCCATGCTCGCTCCCAAAGCTTCACACTACAACCTGCGCAACGCCAAACGCGCATCCGCGCATTGGAGTAACTGAAAATGTATCTTCGTTGAGATACTGATACAGCTGAATACCGACCTACGGCCACTTTATGACGTCACTGTTGAACCAAATTAAACGCACCAGCGCCATCTCTGCCAATCAGGTTTGCTTCCATCATTTTAATTGGGGAGGGGCTGAGTTCCCCAGCAAAATGGGGACAAATGGTTAAAAAACCGTTGACAACCGCATGTTCTGAGCCTGTAAGACCAATCGACTTCGAACCTTCACCATTCGATGCTGCTGGGTCTCTCCAAAAGGTGATGACCTGTGGGGCCAATCGTCACAAAACCTCCACCAATCGATGTATCATAGCCGCTACCCATCCTGTACAAAAAATACCCTGCCCTGTATCGGACTAAAGGTTGCTAAAAACGTCCAAAGCCACATTTACTGCAGACAACCCCCATATTCCGAGCTTTTGAAATCGATCAGCACGAAACCCTTGCCAATCCATGCGCCATGGACGATAAAATGCATTTCCAGATAATGATCACCTTCGATCAGGTCAAAGGTCACATAAAAAACGCCAAGAACAGCAAAACAACAGTTTGCACAAAACCACATGCCCAGAGCAGATGTGATCGATTACCACAAAAGATATCAACTAATACACTACAGTCAAGTTTATCTTTACCAGAAGATGGTCACCTTAGCTCTAGGCAAAGGTCACTAATAGCTTGCCTACAGTCAATATTGGCGGTTTTGCGCCTTTCTGGTGACCTTAAACCTGACCCAGGGTTATCACTCGGAGCGAAAAAGGATATCGACAATGGCGCGCCGATTGGTGGAGGTTTTGAGAAGATCTGTTCTATAGGTTTGGAGCATGGAGCTGTCTGCACAAATATTTTTCCTACTGTGTCATTTTTGTGACATTTGACGTTACCAAATGTCACAATCTTCTGGAAAGGGTTTCTGTTGACTTAGCAACATTGAATGGTGAAGGTTTGGTGGTGATCTGTCTCATGGGTTCGAAGCATGAGACAAGTAACAACTACGTTTGGACATGCTTGAATAAAAAATAACGCGTCGTTCAACCCCAGGTCGGATTTCCTTTATGCTGATCATGCTGCTACTGAAATAAATGAGCCATTGATTTATTCAACCGTGCTAGGAGCGTTACATATTGATGACATCTCCGGATATAGGCAGAATTTGCCAAAGTTGAGTTTCGAGATGCATTTCATTAGCGCGGCCGGCAACATGCCATCGCTTTCTCTTTAGCCGCTCACTGTAACTGGAACCGCAGACCGCACACCGAAGAAGCTTTATTGCTGTGAACCACTTGGGGCGCACGCAATGTCAATGGATGCATTTTGTATGTGCTACATTAGCGCCATCTGTGGGCATGCTGAGAAACGCTAGTTGACAGTCTTTTACAGATTTTGGGACGGGTAGTCGGAAGAACACACGTGGCGCGAGCGGGCGGGACCTTAGCAGTACTCGATTAGAAGGGACTGGTGCGGACTGAAAGTGGGTGTGCTGTGGTGTCGTTGGTATGGCGTTTGCGCAGTCTGCCTGTGAATGGAAAGGGGAGGGTAATGCAGCGGAGCATTCTGCCGTCAGGAACTCGCGAGGTCTCTTGTAAAGCGCTGCACGCGGCGCGCCACCCTAGACCAAGAGATGCCTTGAGTGACACGTGTATTATCAACACACAGCCAAAGGCAGTGTTCAGTAAGCACAAAGCTTGCAAATGCCCATCAAAAGACACCACAAGATGCCGTGACTGACGCATTTATTATCAACACACAGTCACAGCGGTGCTCACTACGTAAAAAGCTAGAAAATGTCCATCAAAAGGTGCTTCGCAGTTAGTGGCCGGAGCGAGCCATGGAAACGGTTTTCATACAAGTGACAACCGACTATGTCGGGGCACACAGAAGCAATGCATGCAAAAACAGCGAGCATCACACACAAAGTTGGATAAGTTCACTTCACTTGCTTATTGGCAAGTAGAGGCCTCGTACTGCAATCATTCATAGCGTTCAAACCGATGCACGAGTATTGCTTAGAAGTCTGCAATTCTCCCGAAACGCGTTTTAGGTTCGAACGCGGTTGAATCACTGCAGCTTTACCAATGCAGACTTCAGCAAGCGGAGATAACCACGAGACTCATCACAACCCGTGTCTTTTTAAAGACTACGACAGTATCACCTGGTAGGGAATCCAGTTTTGACTCAGTACGTGGCCGTGACTACGCCCGCAAAGGGTCTTTGGGTCACGCAAGCAAGCATCTCGCAAAAAGCTCGTTACTCTTATCTTATTCTTATAAAACATCGCACGATAAACTGACTCTGAGTGGAAAACACAGGGGCGAAAGGGTTTCCAAAGTGTGTGTGTGTGAGGGGGGGGGGGGGTATTTTGAATCGTGTCCCGCCACTTAACACCGTTTGGCTGCTCGATCTTTTCGCAAAACATAGCTGTAGGGATGGCGGGGGGGGGGGGGGGAGAGGCCATACCCCTGTTCCTAAACTACTACCACTGTCCCTACATCATGCTACCACACAGGGGCACACAGGGCCTGGCAAGGATGATTTAATCATCACACCTTGTTATCACTGAAACAACACAAGATTGAAGTTAATTAATGCAAACGCCCGCCCCGCGCCAGCTCTGGCGGAGGTCGCGAGCGATTAAATATTGCTCTGAGATCCCGAACTCTGCAGATCTACGCACATCAGATGGGTTGGAATCCCCCAAGGCTCCTAGACGCCACCGTAAAAGGTTACGAGCGATTACGTATTGCTCTGACATCCCCAACTCTGCAGATCTACGCACATCAGGTGGGTCGGAGTCCCTCAGAGCCTCTGGACGCCATCGCATGGTGTGACCTCGCACCCACCGGACGCGGGGGCAGCAGCCGGGAAGGCTCTGCGCGTGCCCGTCAGAACACGGGGATCTTGTTGCGAGGCGTGGCGAGCAGGTCGTCGTCCAGGGTCAGGATGCCCATCAGCAGGAAGAACAGCGCCGTCGCCGACAGGAAGTGCCACACGTCGTGCGCGTCAAAGAAGCCGAAGTGCACGCAGTGCGCGTTGGCGGTGCGCGACAGCGCGGCCGACTCCTCGGTGTTGTACGGGTTGTAAAAGACGAAGACGACTAGTGCCGGCACGACGGCGGCCAGACCCATCAGCAAGAAGGCCACGGAAAGGCGAGAGGGGCTCTCACGGTAGCGCAGCTTCTTCATCCCGAAGTAGTAGGCGATGTAGAGGCCCGAGTTGAGCGTGAAGAAGAGCAGCGCGTACATACTAAAGTCGCTGAAAGCGCTGGGCGCCACCAGTCCTACGATGGCCAGCGTCAGGTTCATCAGCAGGTTCACGATTGCGATGCGGCGCGTGCGTTGGTCGGCGGTGGTGCGCCTGCACACCGGCAGGAAGCAGCCGACGTCGCCGCGCAGGTACATCTGGACGGCCCAGAGTGTGCTGCCGGTCATGTGTACCAGCACGACGACCACCCACCAGGCGTAGGAGCGGCCGGCCAGGTACTGGAGGGAGCCGAGCAGCGTGATGGCGGCCACCAGCAGAGCCGGCGTGTAGTGGAAGCGATTGGTCACCCCGCGCCGCGTCTGGAACACCTTGGCGCCCAGCGCGCAGTACAAGTAGTAGATGAAGAAGAAGTCGATGTCCGAGTTGCGGCTGTTGGGGCACACGTGGTACAGACCGCTGGTGAAACCCTCCAGCATCAGCGCCGCGCCCAGCGACGCGAACAGATCGAAGTCGTGCGGCACGCCGCGCGGCGAGGCGGCGCCGGAGCTGGCCGCCGCGTACACATGGTGCTGCGCGCCCACCGCCAGCAGGAAGCCCACGCCGGCGCCCACGTACGGCACGTTGGAGATCACGTGGTTGAGGTCGGGCAGGTCTCCGACGTCGTGGCTGCACAGGTCGTTGCGGTAGCAGGCGTCCATGTTGCCAGAGCGGCGCTCTGACGCCAGGTCCATGTACACGCTGTTGACGCCGAACGCCACGATGAGCAGGGCGCACGTGAAGAGCACGCTGGCGGGACTGAGCAGACTGCCGCGCGTCGCCGCCGGACGGTCTTCCTCGTGGACCATCCACTCACCGGCGACGCCTTCCGCCGCGTCGCTGGCCTCGGCCCCCTTCACTGCCTCGAGCTGCGAGCGCACAATCCAGTCCGCGTAGCGCGATCGCAGCAAGAAGCTCATGCCGCCGATCAGCACGAACGCGACGGCCAGCAGCACCGGTGCCGCGGCGTACGAGAAGTCGGCGTGGTGCTCCGTCACCAACAAGCGGACGAGCTTGCGCCGGTCGCCGGTCGCGTTGCGATCGCCGTCCGGGTAGCAGGCTTCGTCGTTCTCGTGCACCAGCGTCGACACGAAGAAGCCGTCCGGCAGCTCGTCGCGGTGCACGATGGTCGAACCGCAGGCGGTGAAGGTCAGGTAGCGCGCCCCGGCCAGCATCTCGGCCGGGGTCAGCGTCAGCGGGCACGTGGGCCGCTGCAGCGCCATCGTGCCGCACGCGCCCGGGTCGCCCTCGGCCTCCACGGCCAGCGGCTCGCCGCCGCCGCACGAGGCGGTGCCGCTGGTCGCCGTCACGCGCACGGCGCGCACGTGCGGGTCGTCCGGCCAGCGGTACTGGAACACAGACGGCGTGGTTGGCGTGACCACGATCGCGCGCGGCGGTGCACCCTCCTTCAGGAACCACGTCGACTCGTTGAGCACCGACAGCTTAAGCTTGTAGCTGTAGATGCTGGCGCCACGGCCGAGCCCACCGCCCGCCCCCACCGTCACGAAGCACGCATCGCGCGCCAGGGACGACGGGCACAGGATGCGCGACACGCTCATGGCGGGCGAGGCCTCGGTGCCGCGCCGGTCCGACTCGCTCGGCGGCAACATGAGAGTGTAGCCGCCCTTGCTGTTGCGCACGCTGACGGTGAGGGGCGCGGCGCTCGACGGCAGTGGTTGGCCCACCGCGTGTACGTGCAGCTTCATGGAGCCGGCCGGGCCGGCAGTGTAGTAGGCCGCGTAGATGTGCATGTCGCGAGAGCTGAGCTGGCCCGACACGACCTCATTCAGCGGCAAGTGCCTGGTCGCCTCGGCGGAGAAGAAGCTTCGGGGTGTGATCTGAATTCCATATTGGCGATACGGGACGTCCTCAAAATCCTGTTCATCTAACTCGTCTTCGATTGTTGAGTTGGAGTCAATTTGAGCTCGCACAATGGCGTTTATTGCTATCAAGTAGAGCAGACCAGCACATAAATTCTTCATGCTTGTTTTTCTTACAGCACAGAAGAAGCTGTCTTCTTGGATTCCTGCCCTGCAAAAAATCAGCAGTCAATGTATGGCAATTTGCACATTTGTAGGCATTATTAGCAAAATTGACAGCTTTTACCATCACTTCATGCTCATGGGCTGTTTATGCACACTGAACAGTGAGCCCATTACTAGATTCAGCATTTTCACTGCAAACTGGATTGGTTTCATCCAATCTAATCAACATCTTAACTCAAGCCAGGTGGTGGCAAGTTTGTTTTGACCAAATTCACTTGGTGGTTGTTTGACTGTTATCACTTTGGAGGTGAAAGATCTAATCTTCCATACACATCTTCAGGCAACTGGCATGGGATTTGCACATCCATGGTATAGGTAAGAGGCAAGACCACCCATTGCTATCAAATTGAGGATGAGGAATGAAGTAGAAGAAGCAGATTTATCTTAAGATCTGTCCTGAATTGCCCAGATAGCTTCAAAACTAGTTGATGCAACAGGTCAGCAGGAATGTTGTTTGCAAGGATGGTCTCCAGACATGTGGATGGGTGTGATACAACCTGCATTCCAGGGATGTGAAATATGCTAATGCTCCTCCATCTATTGATCAAATCTAGGGGGTGGTCCAATCACATAAAAACCTCTTAAGATAGCAATGAGATCCACTTTAAAATATATACCGTGAATTGAGATGTTTGTGCCTTGTGGTACACATGTGATGATACATTTGACACAACTTAAATTCCTGGAATAGAATTTATACCTAAATTAAAAAATAGAAGTTCCAGGATAAGAAGAGAAACTTACCTGCCTTCCAGACTGAAACTGGGGGTCATGAGTATGACAATATCCAGGTTGGAATATATAAGGGACCTTTTGAAAAAGCAGGCCAAATTCTAGGGAGTTTTTACATGGTTAGGATAGGAGACCACTGAATCTGCTTGACACCCTAGGAAAAAGTCAGTGGCATACCACCCTTATAACAAAGCTAAAACTGAGCCAAATTTTGCCTATATATAGCCAGCTTGGAAAAAAAACATTCACAGCTCAGGACAAGTATACAAGTGCAGTGATTATCCCTGAACCTCATGCTCATGTGCTGCAAGCTCTGGCTGGGCCACACCATACTGAATTTGTATGTAATTTTTTGTCAAGTTTGTAGTGCTCTGGCCAAAGATTACCTGTGCAGGATCAGAATTCACTACCATTGGCTGTTTATGTACTGTCACTGGTGCCAATCATGCACCAAACTGAGCCTTCTGATTAATGACATACATGCACTTAAATTGTTGCCACAATGGCCATGGCTGCGCGGAACATGCTTGGTGCAATAAGCCCTCTTGCAGTCTGGGTACATGGGACATTCCACCCACCTGGGTGGAATTATCACATCGTCCCCCACGTCAAAATAAAATCAGTCCTCACCTGCCAGCCTTCACCACTTTTCCCACTGAAACCCCCTCGCGCTAACTCTGGGGCCCTAGAACTAACTTACGACATCCCCAATTACGCAACGTCCCTCGGGCCAAGACCCCACACGCTCCTTGGGCTTTCCCCACGCCCCCCGCCCCGCCTGTTGCTCAGCTCTAGCGCCCTGGCATGTTGCCCCGCACCGCCATGCATCGCTTCCGAAGCACCAGCGCAAGGCCATTCGTATGTATCTGCTTGGCAACGGCGAAGCGGCATGTGACGCGGTGTACGAATGTGGCGCAGCAGCCCGCTGAAATGTTATGTGACTGCCCGAAAATACACCACGGACGTAGTGCAAACACCTTACATGAATAGGGACTGCTGCCAACTCCGCGGAGCTTTATCCCTCGCCATTCAGATTAGTTTTTGTTCTTGGGCCTTGAGCGGTACGCTTGCCTGAAGTTTGATGATAGAGTACCGCATTCACAAGGTCTAGCTCGTTTGTTGCATTATTCAGGTCCATGTACTTGTTACATGTATGGGTACAAATATTTCTGAAGGTTTCCGTCTCTACTTGGAGTTAACACCAGGGGTACATTTATCTTTTAAGTGCAAGGGGCGTCGTTTCGCGAAATGGGTTGCGTGGGAAGGAGGGTAAGCGCTGGACAATGAAAATAAGGGAACCTGTCTAGAACTACACCAAGACGGTGGCGGTGTATCCGGGGGGAAGGGGGGGGCGGGGGGCAGCGTTTTGAAGCCGTAGCAAATGTGTCTTTTTGCCTCCTATAGTTTCAGGTGGCCCGGGAGGGGCCCTGCGGTGTTTGGTAGTACTTGCTTGCTGTGTTACCAAAGAAAGAGAAAAGAGACCATGGGTGGTCTGGAAACCGCCCATTTTAAGTTCAGCACGAAATCGTTTCGTGTCCGCGAAGGGCCCATCTTAGGCTGGAATTGCCCATGTTAAGACGGGAAAAACACTCATGCCGATTCCAGGCACGGTATCGGGCCTTTTATATTTTATATTTCCAGGCCTTTCTGGTCTGGAAAGGGATCATCATAAGTTCAAAACAGAACCGTCTCAGGTCGGGAAAAGGGCCCATCGCAGGCCCAGAGGGCCTTCTAGAGCGCACTTTAGACTTGACTCAAGTCTGGAAAGGGTCCATCACAAATTCAGAAAAGGCTCATCTCAATTCAGATAAGGACTCACTTCATGCTGATAAGCGGGGAATTTTAGACTCGGAATGCGTCTATCTCACTTCTTGTGGCTGGGAAGGACCCATCTCTGGTTTAAAATGGACCCATCGAAGGCTCAGAAAGCCCATGACGGTGTATCCGCGGGGAACTGTTCCCCATGTTTGAGGTAAGGGACAAAACCACTCTCCCCATATCTCAGGTGGCCCAAATGGGGCCCAAATTGGCGGATCTGTGGAGGAGACTTGTTTGTTATACGTCATCTAAGAAAGCGTAGAGAGTCCATTGCAGGTCCAAGGGGGATTAATTTCGGGGCAGAAAACCCCTTTAACAGCTTCAGACACGGAAAGGGTCCCTTTTGCGGTCTGAAAAGGGCTTACTGTAGACTCAAAAGGGCTCGTCTCTGACCACGACAGGCCCATCACAAACTCAGAAAGCGTCTGTTTCAGGTCTGGGCGGGGCCGATCGTGAGCACTGAAAGGGCCCTCTCGGGTCTGGAAAGGGCCCGGCGGAGACTCAAGCAGGGCCCTTCTTAAAACATGAAACGACACGTTTTAGGCTGAGAAAGTGGGCATCTCATGTCCAGGAAGGGCACATCTGAACACTTAAGCCCGAGAAGGGCCTATCTCAGATCCCACAAGCTCTATCTTATACCAGGGGAGAGGTGAAAGTTTTCATAAGAAGGGGTGCGGGCGGAACACAGCTTGATGTGGGACTCCCGATGGAATAGCACGCGAAAGATCTCCAGTTTTAGCCTATTTTATTTCGAGGGGTCTCAGCTTTCTTCATTGACAACATCATGCTGACGAATGCGTTCGTTAAGGGGCCCAGTGGCTTTAACACTAGGGAGACCCCCTACCTTTTCGCGGACAGGGGGTCCCATGAGTAGAACATTAGGGGGCTCCATTGTCATTTCCTGTCAGGAGTTGAAGGGGATTTCCGTTCCAACCCACCACCCGGAGTACTTGCCGGCTATTTTTCTGGAAACACGGTGACCGGGACCCCTGGTGAATTAGGAAGGCCGCAGAGTGGTGCATCATGCATTGATCCCCCCCCCCCCTTTGACGCGGAAGGCCCCCAGACCAGAACAGTTGATACGGGATCGACACAGGGGCTCATTGAGGCCAAAGGATCACTTATCGACAGGGGGGGCCAACAGTTGGTGGTTGACTCAAGTTCAGCTTATCGGGCCACTGACAGAAATGGGGCGGAGGTCCGGGGTCACGTTCGTTCTTGGTTCCGCGTCTTACAGAGGGCTCCTTCACCACTGTCTCATTATGAACCCTTTCATCGTCATTTATCCTATCTCCTTTCATAATCAGCGGGCCCAGTTAACATTTATCCTATCTCCTTTCATTATCAGCGGGCCCAGTTAACATTTATCCTATCTCCTTTCATTATCAGCGGGCCCAGTTAACATTTATCCTATCTCCTTTCATAATCAGCGGGCCCAGTTAACATTTATCCTATCTCCTTTCATTATCAGCGGGTCTAGTTAACTTCAGAAACTCTCTGACATTTGGGATCACGTTCATGCTCCTATTCAGAAGACGGAACCATGACTGACTCGGTGCCATTGCCAACATAGGGTTCACTGTTCGGCGTGCTATGACTTCTGGCCAACACAGCGGTCCCTCATTGCCTCAGGGGCCCCGATCAATGCAAAGGTCCTCTGACTGACAATCACGGGCCGCAGGGTGGTCCCAGCTTTGGAAATGGGCCCTAGGCCGCCTAGGGCTAGACTGCTTGAAATTCGTGGTCGCAGATCGATTGGTGAGCCCTCATTGCTCCCAGGGGCCCCCAAACAGCGCAAGCAAGCAACTGAAGGACATTTGCGAATCTGGATCTCTTGATACCGCCTCTGGCCAACTCTTCGAGCCCCCTAGTTGGGCCCTTGATCGCCGGTCCCGCGGAGCCCTAAGAGCCCGTCTGGACCAGAGGGAAGACATGTGTGCCCCCGGTTCCCCTCCCCTGGCCTATGCCGCGTCTTCAACTTATGATGGGCCCACCTCAGGCCTGAAAAGAGGCCATCTTCAGACAAAAACTGCCCATGTAAGTTGAGGGCTGTAAATGACCCATTTCCAATCAGGAAAGGCCCATCATAGACTCGGGAAGGGTCCGTTTTCGATCCGGAAGGCGTCCATGGTAGGTTCGGACAGGGCTGTCTCATG